TTGTTGTGTTTGCGTAGTGTCTTCATCCAGTAGAACTTTCGAGGCTGCTGTCCCGGGCATGACCTGTCACTGTGATCGAAATCACCACTTCTAAAATGGTTGCACCAATAGCTACGCGTTTCATAAAAAAGCTTCGACAACACCAAATACACTACAAGCTTATTCCCTTCGTTCTTTAGAAGCGCTTGTTCCTTGTTGGAATTCGTGTAAAATGCAGTGTAGTCGAATGTGCTCTTTATTAGTTGCCATCGTCGTAGAATCTGCCATTGTAAGACGCCGTAAAACTCCCGTAGATTTGTCGTTCGATGTTCTGAAACCTTGCGTCCTATCCTTTCAAAACCACAAAAGACCGCGAAAATATTTCCATTTTAAACCTTATTGCCAGCTTGAAGGAAAGATATGTACAAATTAAGCCATGCTCCCAATGCGTAAACGTGCACATCTAGTGTGTTTCCAGCTGCCTTTATTGTCGTTGGCAGGGTGAACTCCGATACGTGATTTCCATCTTCTAGACATCGTGTTGTAGCCTCTGCGTTTGCTGTCTAATACGATGTTTCGTCTTTTTTCTATTCCAAAGACCCCTCTGGGGAATATTGTGGCCTAGAAGGTGTCCGCTATTACTCCTCTTTACCTTTCAGCTAACAAATTAATGCAGCATCTGTTGGAGGACGGATAATTTAGTCCTGCTCTCACGCTCTACTACATACACACCTGATAAACAAAACCCTCTTTTTACAGATTGTTTATCCCTGTCGAAGTGTCACAACTCATGGATGGAGATGTCTAATCTTCTGAAAAACCAAATCGAGCTACAAGCGAGGTTATGGAGTTAAAACACCAGAAAGTATAAATTAGTTCAAAAGCCAGGGCATGAACGAGGATATTTGCAAAACTCAAGCCTTTCTCGCTAGATAAACTTGTCGAATTCCCGAATTCCCTCAGCGACTTTTTCCGACTGCACGACAATTCACACTCTCTTAGTTGCAAGTTCGCCTGCTCGAAACAGTCGCCTGTGCGTGTGTGTGTGTGTGTGATATTACCGTCTGTTTATTGTCATGTGTCACTGTGCGTTTGTTGGTTGGGGGCAGGAGGGGGGGGCGTACGTGTTTATGCTAAGTTGTCTGCGCCAGTGGCTGGCTGATATTCATCAGGCACCTATTTATGCAGTAGCCGAAGTAATGCAGAAGTTAGCCAATCATCACCCGACATCCTAGGCTTACTATGTGATCAAACCCAGGCCGACCAATGTGCTGACTCAGTTGCTTCTGACTTTGCCATTCTCACTGTCTGGATGCATTCGAGTCGGGACTTATGCCTTTGACCTCCCTTCAAACGCATCTATTTCGATAATTCGGCGAATGATCGAGTAGGATGATCGATCGTTTATTGATTGATACGCGTCGGGATATCGGTATAACTTTTGTAGGCAAATTACTGAGCTATGCATGCACGACTAGCCTTATGAGCTGCGAATATCGACTTCATTTTCTTATGATTGAAATAATTTGCTACTGAGTCGAAGAGTGATATGGATAACATATGCTGTACACGAGATTCTACCACGTGCCTGGACGCCGCCAAGCCGTGGTTTAAACAAACACATTTTGTCTCTTGTGTGCACTAGCGAAAGCGCGCGTAGAACAATTTGTGGGTGTTTATTCGCAGTGTTTTCCTTTAGACTGGGTGATGCTTCTCCCCTTCACGGCAGGCGGTTTCTTGTACATTGCTCTCGTGTCGCTGCTTCCCACGTTTCTACAAGAAAAAACCCCGAGGTTTGTGCTGTTTAAAATGCGCCAAGTATCCCCTCTAAAATCACTTTTTTTCATCCTCAGCAAAGTAAGTCCTATTAGCTCAGCTTTGGTTACCATATGCTCTTATATTACGGAATTCTCGTTATGTAAATATGTGCGAGGTGACTAGTTCTGGCTACTTATTTCAATCATCAGTAGTACATGTTTGGTGAGTCCTTCTTAGCTGCTTACTCCTTCTTCTTCTTCTTCTTACCTAGAGAGTCTCTTGTCCAACTCGGTCTGATCGCAATGGGGGTGGCGTGTGTGCACGGACTAACCTGCACACATTTGTGAAGTGGCCGAGCGCGATCTCCTTGCAAAGCATTTTTACTCCTGTGCCTTCTATTCCTCGATTTTTAAATTTCATTTCAGAGACATATTTCCCTGAAAAATGCATCATGATTTTTTTCGGTTTGTCTTAGTCAAACATGAGGACTAAATGCAAACATATTTTACGGGATTTAGCAAACCTGTAGAGGTTTACTTAAGGCTGTTAATTGTGGCAGACTGGCTGGAAGAATCATCAAGATTGGCAGATCATGGTGGGATGTACTTCGAAAAAACCGTTTTAGGGGTTCCAATTCAATTACTACAATCGGTATATCCAGCATTTTTGGGCAAAAAAACCGCACTTTTCTCTATGGACAGAGTATGATCGCACGACCGGCCAATCCCTGTGCTTCATTCAAGGTTAAGTCTAAACATGCTGAGAAGTTAGCTATATGAAAAGCCCCTAAACATTTTTCACTAGTTTTACACTTTTCGTGCCAGGAAACATAATAGTGCTGCTGTTTCTAGTGGGAAAAGAATATTGATCCAAATCTTAATTAAATTAAGCTTTCTTGTGTCGATCTACGCACACGAAAGCCTTAGAAAGTGTTTCGAAGTCATGTAGTGTATTACGCTGATTTTCGGCTAAGTTGATATGGTTGGTGAACTTGAATGATTGCCATCGAAACCACTTGGCTGGTGCAAGCAGTCCAGTGAATTACTGAAAATCCAAAAATTTCAGATACACTTGTTATAATGTTTCAAATAAGAATAAAGTAACGATGTATTTTAGTAACTTTATTTCTTATTTACACAAAGTCGTGTTACAATATTGAAAAGCCTGTTTAATAATAGGCAATTTCGCGTTACGATTCTTGTATCAGTTATGTGTGCACGACGAATTATTGAGGTGATTTAATTTGCAGTTTGATTCAATGTAAACACTCGATAATACAGTTGGAACTCAGCGTCACTTTCCCTACATGGAAGATTCCAAAATGAATTCATTTATGTCATTAACTTAAAAAAGGATAATTGTAAAGTTTCTGTTATTTGTCAGTCATGATTGGAATAAATTCTGAAGGTTACTGATTTCGCAGACGATATAAGGTCAAACGTCAGCATGTAAAATTTGTTCGACCTTTACCAAAAATGTGAATTTATAAAACTACAATGTCATTTCGTCTTACAATTTTTGTCAGAGTTATACTAATATGATGCATTAGCTGCATACGTTTATGACTTCGATGATGATTGCAAAACTCCACAAACAGAAATCTCGAAAAGGCTGAGATGTTGAAGGGCCGTATATAGACAATTTATTCACTTAATCTTCACTCAAAGATACACGGAGACACGAATTTCAAAAAAAGCGTTTTGTAAGTGTATTTAACGTCCCATTATCAGGCTGCAGCAAGTTCAAAACGATTGGTTTTGACAAACTTTAGTGAAAATTCAGATTGGCAGCACGAAGTTATTGTTATAACGTACGAGTGAGGCTTGGACCAACGAATAAGAGGAAACTAGCTGAAGGATAGGACACATGTTCTACTTACATGCAAGAATTCAGGTCCAAGAAAGTGATTAAGATGTTTTTTTTTCAGAACACGAACACAAAACGCGAGTAGAGAAAATAATCGCTAAAGGGAAAATGGATTCACCAACATTAATCTATATCTACACACTAACAATTGGACATGTAAACAAGGGTAAAAAATATGAAACAAGGTTACCGGAAGAATGGCGTATGGCATTGCGTGTTCAGTGGTATATGTGACTGTATGTTATCTTGACTCATTCATGGGAACACGAAGCTTTCAGATGTGGTCTTAAATGAAATTTAAATCCAAGAATTAGTGCCAAATTGGATTGAGAAAACGTTATTCAGGTGATATCAGTTTAATATTTCGATTTCGAAGACAAATAAGAAAAAACACGTGTATTTTATGTGCCTCAAGGGTTGTATATTTACTGTAGGATTTTGCTGATTTAGTTTTAAAATCTAATGAATTTTACCATGCAGAGGCCAGACTCATAAGGTGCTTCAAAATTTCTTTATAGACAGGACCAACGAAAAAAGGAAGATAATTTGGAGATTCAATTTGTTAATTCGTATTGTCAAATCCTTCAATAAAAATTAATAGTTTGGAAGATGGGGCTGGAGGTTCAAGTGTTATGGCAGGACACCATAAACAAATCAGTCTAGAATGTCAAAAAAATCTGCAGTATTTCGTCACGTAACATCGATGCGTTATCCATTTAGCCTTTAATTCTGATAACGCAAAATATAGGGTGCAACCTAAATGTACCTTATTAAATGTGTGCGAATTTTTATATCAACCTCTAGTACACGAGCCAATATAGGGTTCAAAATCTATAAGGAATGAAAATTTTCGCTACTATGCTTTCTTAAGAGGAAAGTAACCATTAAAAACGTAAGCAATACTTGTCAGCATCATTATTGGTATGTAATATTAATTGTTAATAATTTAAATTAAGAGGTTAAACATATTTTTTAAACAAAATTGCACGCATCGTACAGAATTGTGATGAATGAAAGATTGGGCATCGAAAATCACATAAATTTTAAAGGCAATTATAACATGATGTCTAATTAGTTCATTTATGACCTACACCATTTCTAAAGACGTTTGTGTTTATATTATATGATTTATGAAATTGTGTGTAATTTCGTGTGCAAAAAAATAATATTTAATCATGAAACCATATTCTCGCATGTAAGTAGAACGTGTATTCTGTCCCCCAGCTATTTTGATCTTATTCCTAGGTCCAAGCCGCACTCGTACGTTATAACAATAATACCGTCGTGCTGCTAATCTGATTTTTCACCAATGTTTGTCAAAACCAATCGTTTTGAACTTGCTGCAGCCTGATTGGACTGCAGATCCGCCAGCGTAGTATTTAGGACTGCGGTTAGAAATGGCTGATGTTGTTGAAATACACGGTGGAAATGACTTCGAAGATGATACAGAGGGTGATCGTAAGTTTATTCAGTAGTCGTGTAGTTTGTTTTTTATTCGCATAAAACAAATTTGCTATCCTATAGTGCTAACCTTAGGTACGTCCACGTTATTTTGTCTGCAGTTAATGTGGTCCAGATTTGTGTGTTCATGTCTTATGGCTTAATCTCATTCGGAAGCGCATATTCCTAGATATAGTCAATTTTCAAGCAGAACGTTCGTTTAATTGTGTGCCCACTTCTCTGCTGATTGCCGAAAATAGTTACCATAATGGCAGTTTATTGACTTCCCTCTCTGTGCCTACTATGCGTCCCTTAATTCTAAACAGTCAAGTCAGAGTTGTCATAAATGATTGGTGGAATTCTGGACTTCATGATATCTGTCAAAACCAAATTTGCCTGTAACACGTTTTTTTCTGCTAATATTTTCGTTTGCCTGATTGCCGCTCGACTAAATAATAGTCAACCCTACTCAACTTAAGGGGCTTTTATGTCGTAGTATTGTTTGGTAGTGAAATTCTGATTACATTAATTAACACTTTGACACTAAATGTGATTTTAAATAGTTTGTTGTTCCCACGTCTTGGTGTAGTTTCTCGTGCTCATCGCCGCGTTGTTCAAAAGTCACTGGTTTCATGTGCCATTAGTCAGTTTTATTTCTGTTGCATACCCCTATTGGCGAATCTCGTTCAAGTACTTCTATTCAAGCCTCTTCTAACCTGGCGGAAACTGGTTTTTAACAGATTAGAAAAATTGAAAGTAGTTTGTCTGAAGTATCCAGTTTTTACCGGCGGTCAAACCCCTTGTAAACTTCACCACTGTTTGGCCACCACTTCAGTATGCGCCTTTTGGATCTTGCCTGGCGACTTTGGAATCTGGCCGAGATTCCTGGTTGGTGTTGGAATTGGTCGTGACCGTCTCTGCGTGAGGAGCCGTTTTTGGGCCCTTCACATTCCTTATATTCTACAAAATTCACCTAACGTTCATGTACTTCCCACGTTTTTCAATTTGGTGTATTAAAATAAGGGGCCTTTGGCGAAAAATACGTCAATTTCTGATCAGGCGGAGACCAGTCGCCTGTGCAGCTAACATGGTTTCTATGTGCGGTCTGTTTGCATCCATATTATCATGCTCCCATTAATCACTGGTACTAAAATTTAAATAACTGAGCCATGGTATTATCATTATTGAGGACGATGTCTTGGTTATTTTATTCAGTAAAATCGGGTTGCAACGCACTTAGTACTTCCCCCCAAAAACATCGTTTGCGTCCACCATAACTTACTTGCACTTTCGAGAGTTGGGATATTTACTGCTGCCAGTGCCAATTTCCGTATTTAACATGTATTCTTTTTTAACATTTTAGATGGCCTTTTACGCTTGAAGGAACAGGCAACAAAACGCAAGGGTCGTGGTTTCCGAGGCGGTAAGTTTTACTCCGCTTTATAGCTGACACTGTAACGTTATTCTAGATCCTGTCTCTCGTGGACAGGAGGAAGAGTTTGAGTCGTTAAAACCAGACGACAATACCTCCGCATCTGGGCCGCAACGATGTAGGCATAAACTTTTGCAGTTCTTGAATGCTTTATTATTTCTAGCTATTGAGGGTTGGATTGTGTTTGTGCGAAACGTGCACGAAGAAGCAACAGACGAGGATATCAGAGACAAGTTCTGCGAGTACGGAGAGATTAAGAACATCCATCTCAACCTGGACCGACGCACGGGCTACCTGAAGGGCTATGCCCTTGTGGAATACGAGACATTCAAAGACGCCCACGCAGCTCTACAAGCCCTGAATGGGAGTGAATTGCATGGACAGAAGATCCAAGTGGATTGGGCCTTTGTTAAGGGCGGCGGTGGTGGTGGAGGTGGTGGCAGCCGGAGGTCGGGTCACCGTCGTGGAGGCGGTGGTCGCCGACGCAGCAGCCACTCCCGAAGCCACAGTCGCTCAAGATCCCGGGATCGTGCCCGGAACTGAAAGAGCAGCGGCTGTTGCTGCTAGGCGGTGTGGTGGTAATTGTGAATAAATTCCCTTCCTTCACCCCACCTTTCATACGAACCCCTCGTTGCTGTTTCATATGCAAAGCATTTAAACCACTAACAGGTGATCTTTTTAAACGCACATTTTCACTTGGGAGTTCGCGCTTTATTCGATTTCTGTAGTTGATTAACCAACATGGATTAGTTTCTATTCGAGAAGCTGACGTGTACCTGTTGAACCGAAAACTAGCGCTACATCAACAGTGTGGTGCTGCTTAGTTCCAGCAAAGCAAAGTAGAGTTAAGATTGTCGCCTTTGGCTTGTGCTTGGATCAGTTTGCAATCAGTCATAGTGAAGCTTGTTGTGACAAGTTGTAGCACTATGGCAGCAGTCAGTCAGTGCGCCTAGAAGATTCGACACTCGGTGGCACGAGCAACAGGACCACTGGTGGTACCTGATACTGGTAGTCCACTAAAGCCCGGTAATTGGTGATCCGACATTAACCGGTGTGTGCATGTGACACGACAGTTGCTCCCAAGGTGTCTAATAGAACAGCTTGCAAGCCGCTATGTTTACTCCCAACACCTACGCCTATGCCATGTGAGTCTACATAACGGGGTTTTCTGGGAGAGCATATAACAACAATGTGTTGTAGTCAGTCTGGATAATCCAGCGTGACGCCTAAGCCAAACACGGGAGAAAGTGGGCTTTCTTTAAAGAATTGCCTACGCTGTAACTATTATTGGGAAAATGTACGTAGTCTAGTATGAAGGGTGGGCGTTTCTTGAATTATTTAGTCAATTCTGAAGTGTGTTACCGTGGACTTGATGGGGATGGTGTTTTAGGATTGATTGGAACATGAAGCGCTGATTGAACCGTCGTGGCCTTAAGTCCATCAGCCGAACCCGTCCCTCCTTGACCCCTGAGGTGATTCCCAAAGGACGCGGGAACGGGTTTCGTTTAGGAGTTTCAAGTGGTCGAGAGTACCGCGAAAACTTTGGCACAGAAGACTACCACTCGACGCTCAAGAGGGTGTCTGGAGGTGTGAGGCAAAGCTAATATAGGGCTATTTTCGGTTACTGTTGTGAACACACGAAGGGCAGTCACATCGTGATCTGGTTTCCCTGCCAAGTCTCATTTAAAAAAAACACCAGTTTCTCAACTGTTTATTTGATGTCTCGACCAAATTGTGTGTTTGTGGGTGTGACGCCGCATCAGACTATTGATCATTGTCGATCAAAACGCACTGGATGAACTTGTTAAAGTACAAATGGTCGCACAACCGATAGGGCCGCCGTGAAGCGGAACCTGGAGGGAGGGGGCATGTCTAAATGTGCGGCGACCGGGTTGACGGACGTTAATCAACACAATGCGCCACATCTCGTCGCATATTCTCACGTCTAGAGGGTCTCCAAGCCAGGTTTAGTACTACGACACAACCCTTCCGTGTTAACTGTTGTGCACTCACATTGAGTGGAACTAAAGCATACAGCTAGTTTAATTTTCTCGCATCATGTCAATCCCGCTTGGAATCGCGACCCAAATTGGTGCATGAATGTAGAGTTAGGATATTTTTACAAGGAGGCTGCCACCCACCCATAATCTGTAGACCTGCAGTAATCGTAACTAGGAGACTAGCAACTACGGACTTCGGCGTACTGCTAATTTGTCTATGATTTCTCAAGAAATATTTTATGAACCAGGACGCTTCTTCCAATGTCATGCTCTTGCCGTCTTGCCTTTGATAAGTCTAATGAGTAAAAATTTATGGTATTATTGTCTTGTCAAGATTAGTCGCCGTGTCGAGTCAAAACCACAATAATAAAAACACGCGTCTAAACAAGCAAACCTCAGACTTGGTGAAATTGTAATTTAAATGAGAAAAAAAACGTGCTAGGAATTGTGGTCAGCCGCAATGTGTCTGTCTCATGCCCACGTCGTAAAATGCGTCGTCAACAGGGGACTACTAAAACGGTCATTAGTCATTCTCGCTCTTAACGTGTACAAAATGGATACATTATTAATGAGCGGCAATTTCGCGCCACATTCCAACTTCCAGGGCTTTATATAGCTCTTTCCGAAATTTGAGCAAACTTAAACTAAAAATTAGAATGCGGTTCGATTGATTCCGCATGTCCCTTGGGGGGGGGGTGGTTTGCATCTTTTACAAGCCCTCAATCATGCAAGTGCTGCTTAAAAATTCGACCATAATGGCACAGATATTGCTCTCAAAAATCAAATATTATCAAATAAAATTGACTGTGGGGCATAACTTCAATTTATGCAATTCTTTAGGCAATCGATCGATTTATTTACTGCGTATAAATTAAACTGTCCAGCTAGCCACTAATATTTGACCATTACTATGGAGAACAGGTTAGTTGCCGCCAATAATTGACCCTCAACATGATCAACAGATCGGTACATTGATTTGTCATTCAACGACATTTGACTTAGACTGAAAGTAACTGTACGGCGACTGGGTCTAAAACCTGATTGGTTCTTGACGGAATGCCGCCAATTTCAAAAAACTCCCGTTTCTTTTAATGCAGAAAATGGCCAAAACGACTGCAGTTAATTTTGCCTTACTTCGGTTCAGTCAGTTCAAAGTAATCCCGATTTTAAAATAAAACAAGACTTCGTGACTTATTTTTGGTACAAATTCAGTCACAGTTAAATAACCAAACGTTGCTGAGCAGCGAAAATGTAGACAAATAGATTATTAGACAGGCGTCTTTTTGAAAATACGCGGTCTTTTATATTGTCGTGGTCTGCAGTGATTTGAATACTGGTGCCAAGGTAACAAGTTGGTTTTTATGAGTTGTGGTTCACTTCGACTTTTTGACATCTATACTTAGATGACTTGTGCCACAAGATAAAAACAGCGAATTCGAAATTTAAATGAAATTCTGTCAAGCACACCCATTCGCAAACGCGTGTTGAGTCTGCGTATTAATGTCTGGTTTCAGGCGTTCAATGCTTCATAATTCAGTGCTGACTAAAAACGCATGCAATAAGATCTTGTTTTGTCAAAACATTTTAGAATCGTGGTAGTTTTACAAAAGAGGATCGGTGTGGCGTCAGATAATTTCGAAGTTGCGTTTTTCTGGCATTTGTCATGAGTGCTACCCAAACATGTTTTGACATTTCCTCATAAATACAGTATTCTGTCACTTCCGTTTCGTACAAATACCTGCAGAAGGCGCGTGCGCAAACATTTTTTATGAAATTCACAGCATTTGTGGATTTTCACACATCAAGTCTTTGATAACATAATTAGGCTTTAACACAATCCTCATTTCCATTTAACTATTGGTTTAGTAAGTATTGTATTCAAAAATACTCCCCCCGGGTATTTCCGTTTATGGTTGTTTGAGTACTACAGCACTTTTGGTGCTTAAATTTAGATGGTCTCGAAAATGTGGAGACAGAAGAAGAAAAAATTCTGCTAGTTCCGTGAAATCTACATAGAGACGTGGAACTTTAAATAAAATTCGGAGCTTGTATTCACTTCATTTAATCGATTTGGGTGCAGCTGATTCGACGTGATTGCAACGTCAAAATGGATTTCAATTGGGATTATAGATTTACTGCTTCCTGTGCAATATCGCTTTTTTTCAGAATCTGCTAAATGAGACTTTTAAACCAAAAAAGAACAATTTTAAAATAGTCGAAAATTCGCATTAAGGCGGTGTTATGTTTTAATGTACACATCATGGATGTCAGCACATTGTTGGCGTACGAATCAGACCATCAGTTTACGTGGGGATTCGTGATATCCAAAAGGATTGGGTGTTGATTATGCACGCTAGTGCCTGTGCCAGAAATCAATATATTTGGAAGACCCGCCATTTATAGGAAATGAATTTTAGACATTTTGAGGTAAAGCCAAAATCGCTGGAAGGCATACTGGTGTACGTTTTTTTTTTAAAATTTAGGATAATCCTCTATAATGACAATCTTTTCGCATATTATAAGGAATCCTTTAACGAGTAATGGATAAGTTCTGTGCACGCGGTGGTTATTTAAACGGCAATTGATATATCCAATCAAAATTGAACTTTTGTTTTAATGCGCTTTTTCATTTTTGAATTTGCTTCCATATATAATTTTTTCACTGTTTTAAACACAAGATTCAATTAAATGCGCTTATGTGATCGACAAACATGCACTTTGGTGCTCGATTGCAGAAAGTAGTCGCTGAGTTGCCGATATTGAATTTGACAGGACTCCAACAGTCAAGTTACACCGCTGGTCACTCGTCTGCGTTGCCACCAGCACACCCCATCAGGCTGGTGAGGGGAACTACTCCAGCTTAGTCCGAAATATTGCATGCGATTCTGTGATTCTTTAAAAAAACGCCCGTTACCCACTAAATAGGGTGTGGCCAATCAACGTTTACGTTTTGAATGGAAATTTTTTGATGTTTGTCACAACGTTATGAGACTACCCTGTGATTAGAAACTCAGTTGAATGTGAAAAAATGCGACATGTTTTTGCACCGAAAAGTACATTTAATGGGAGAGGAAAATACGATTGCTTAAATTATCGCCCATACTTGCCGGTTTCACAGCGTTTAAATATAACAAATTCAATCTGAAAACGGTACAAAAATTGTTAATTTATCGTACGGATGTAACATATGTTAAATATGGTATGTGTGCTTTCGTTGCCATGTTATTCTAAAATGGGTAAATTAAAAAGCCCACCTCAAACCAATCACATCCCAGCGATTTAGGACCCTTTTTGTGATTGGTAGAAATTCACAGAGTCCCTCAAATGAACGTACATGAAATGCAATCGATACTTTTCGACGCAGCCAAAAAAATCGAACTTTGACAACTGGGCGTGTGGACATGTTTTATCAGTGAAAATTGATCTATCTTTCTTACATGGAGATTTACCACGAACTGGCGTGTTACAATGTTAGGTATAACCTAAAATTGGTTTTTTTCCTGAATAATTTAAATTGCTGAATTCACTAAACACAAGCAACTC